AATTCTGAAGAATCTGAGAAATCGTGGGAGATATTCATTCATGATGGACTTCTTCTTGAGGTTAAGTTTAACCTCGGAGGAAGTAAACAGTTGTAGGTACCACAGGTAGACATACAACGCGAGGATGAAGCGCCAAACGACAGCAACAGACCATGCCATGATGACCAACTGACGCTTCTCATTCAAAGACGCATGACACAAGAAAGGAAGGATGCCATGTCCAAGATACAGTACACAGGAGATTACAGAGAGTTAGCATTATAGTACATTAAGGTTACTAGCTTGAGGTATAGATACGATCAGACTACGTCGACGACGCAGGTGCAATGTTCGCCAGGTGCTGTATGCAGGCATGCCGCACTCAGTTGATGAGGAGCAGGTGTGCCGCATTACAATGTGCCGCGAACGATGTGCTGCGTTATCAAGCAGACGTTCATGAAAGGTAATTACCGATATAGCTAGTTATCCTCATTTGTACACATGCGTATCTCTGGAAACTTCCGTGTGTACCAACGACTGAAGTCTTCACAACCAGCATTCAGACTGGAGATCAGCGAGCAGTCAGGAGATGATGACCAATACGCTTCGGAGTTTCGTTTTGAGATCATGTTTTATCAGTGGAACACTTTATTTTAGAAAGTGTCCATTCTCAGTCAGCAGTAATCAACAATTCATTTAATTGTGAATTGATGTATCTTCAGTTCAGATTAAGTCTATTATTCAGTATTAAAATACTGAATTTTCAACTCATGTCATCAGTAAGTAAAAGCTTTAAGTTAAGCTTATACATTCCAGTTTTAGTATTTTCGGGGACGGAAATATTTTAAGGGGGGTGGATTGTAACACCCCGTATTTTATTAATAAAGGAAAATACTAGCTTTTAGTTTTATGCTAGCCTTTATTAATAAATAATCATGTTCATGTTCAAGTTCAGGTTAATCAGTCAGTTATATTCTATGTTGGACTATTAGTCGATAAGTTATTCGGTTTAATTAATTCAGTAACCGAATAAGTTTTCAGACTTAATTCCGATTCATTTACTTAATTAATGAGTTCGGAATTAATTATTCAGTCAGGAGTATCCAGTCATGTTTTTCGTTCCGAAATAATAATATTTTCGAGTATTATTTTCGGAATTAATTATTTCAGTCATTTCAGTTAAGATTACCGAAAATTACTTTCGATGTTCCGTTTACGTTCGGAATAATTTTGGTAATTAAGCATTATATTTAATTAAATAATTAAACATAATAAAGTGATTAATTAGCAATTAATTACTCTTAAGTTACATAAAACCGTACGGAAATTGTCCCAAATTATGTCATTACCGTAAGTTCCTTCAAGTTTGGGAAACCAAACATTTCCCTCTTCATTAAGTCTTGGACGTGTCACATTATGAGAGAATTTAGAT